ACAGCCTGGGCCTAAGGGCCTGGCACATGGGGTGCAGGCTGGTCCTAAGGGGCCCCCACATGGGGTACAGCCTGGGCCTAAGGGGCTGGCACATGGGGTACAGTCCTGACCCAAGGGGCCCCCACATGGGGTACAGCCTGGGCCTAAGGGGTTGGCACATGGGGTGCAGCCTGAGCCTAAGGGGCCCCCACATGGGGTAGAGCCTGGGCCTAAGGGGCTGGCACATAGGGTACAGTCCTGACCCAAGGAGCCCCCACATGGGGTACAGCCTGGGCCTAAGGGGTTGGCACATGGGGTACAGCCTGGGCTTAAGGGGCTTGCACATGGGGGTACAGCCTGGGCATAAGGGGGCCACACATGAGGTACAGCCCAGGCCTACATCTCCCTTGGTCAGGATGGGGCGTGGCTTAAACTTGATTTGAGCAGAAGTCATTGATGTTTCTACAGCCTGGGCCTAAGGGCCTGGCACATGGGGTACAGTCCTGACCCAAGGAGCCCCCACATGGGGTACAGCATGGGCATAAGGACCTGGCACATGGGGTACAGCCTGGGCCTAAGGGGCCATCACACAAGGTACACCCTAGACCTAAGGAGCTTGCACATGGGGTTCAGCCCTGGGCCTAAGAGGCCAGCCCAGATCTAAGTGGCTGGCACATGGCATAAGGAGCATGCACATGGGGGTACAGCCTGGGCCTAAAGGGGGCCACACATGAGGTACAGCCCGGGCCTACACATGGGGTGCATCTCCCTGGCAAGGTACTCTGTGGATACCTGCATTGCAAGGATCCCAAAAACGGACCGGAGACTGGGCTGAAGAACGGATGATAAACCCAAAAGGATGTTACATTTGGAGGGCTTTGAAGGTACGCATGGACAGTACACGAGCTCCATTATCATAGTCAAAGTCTGAATGTGGAGTCTCATTCCATGTTTTATGGCCTTAACGGCGCCATTATACAAAACGCAGGCGCGTCAAGCTGTTGTCACTTTTGGTATCACAGACCTGGAGATTTGGGGGGGTCCCCATGCTGTAATGCAGAAATCACATGGGGCAAGAGGCATTGCCGGAAGTGATGGCGTCTCGGTCCAAGTGCACAAAATTGGGGCAAGGAGACAACTTCTGTACACGCCAATCAATTCTTATCTGGGGTCCTCGAAAGTATAACTAATCGGAAGCTGCGTCGCCATGAACTTCAAAGACTGAACCCTGCATGTGATAAACTCTGATGCTCCGCCTCGCATATATAAATAAAATGCGTTTATAATGTATATTCAAGAAGTATAAAATAAGAAAATATAAAAATCGATTGTGGTTTAGAAGCCACAGAAAAATACACTGCCAAGTCTCCGAGGAATCTCTACATACCCACCTCACATTCACGGGTGTGGGGGGATTGCACTTCAAAGTGAGCCAGCTGCCGACCTGGACATGTCAAAGGGGGGCATACGAGAGCTGCATGCAAAACGATCAGCCAATCCCCAGATAGAGCCAGCTAGGTTGACGTGGACATCTCCAATGTTCCTGGACCCGTCCCTCCTAAGTCTCACCATAGGGGAACGAGGTGACCAGGAGATGGTGGAGCCGAGGTCAACTCGGACAGAAGTGAAGATTTGCAAATGACTTCAACTTCTTATAACTCTGGATCGACTGATTGCCTTTAGCATGGTGGTAGCTGCTGCTTAAAAGTGAACCCGGCCTAAAATGAGTCTTGGGTAACAGCAGCATTCAAGTGGGGGCAGCTTATGGTGCCTAAACTATTCGTTAATCTTAGGATGAACCCCTGTGGGTGTCCCTTCAATCCAAGGCATAGGATGAACCCCCGTGGTGTCCGTTGGATGCAAGGCATAGGAAGAGCCCCCTTGGATTGGAGGCCTAGGATGAACCCCCAGTGGTGTCCCTTGGATCCGAGGCCTAGGATGAACCCCCATGGTGCCCCGTGGACCCGAGGCCTAGGATGAACCCCCATGTTGTCCCTTTGATCCGAGGCCTAGGATGAACCCCCATGGTGTCCCTTGGATCCGAGGCCTAGGATGAACCCCCATGGTGTCACTTGGAACCGAGGCCTAGGATGAACCCCCATGGTGTCCCTTGGAACCGAGGCCTAGGATGAACCTCCATGGTGTCCCTTGGAACCGAGGCCTAGTATGAACCCCCATGGTGTCCCTTGGAACCGAGGCCTAGGATGAACCCCCATGGTGTCCCTTGGAACCGAGGCCTAGGATGAACCACCGTGGTGTCCCTTGGAACCGAGGCCTAGGATGAACCCCCGTGGTGTCCCTTGGATGCGAGGCCTAGGATGAAGCCCAGTGGTGTCCCTTGGATGCGAGGCCTAGGATGAAGCCCAGTGGTGTCCCTTGGATGCGAGGCCTAGGATGAAGCCCAGTGGTGTCCCTTGGATCAGAGGCCTAGTATGAGTCCCCAAGGTGTCCCTTGGATCAGAGGCCTAGTATGAGCCCCCATGGTGTCCCTTGGATCCAAGGCCTAGGATGAACCCCTGGATCCGGGGCCTGGAATGTAGATGACCCTCCCAAGACCATGCCCTGGCCCCATAAATTCAACTGTTTAAACGATAATACCTCTATTGCCCACTGAAGCTCTGGAAAATGGCAGCTCAATGACCGGCTGCGTGTCGCTTAACTTTGACAACAACCCCCGACAAGACTAATAATGCCTACCTGAGCAACTTTTAAAATATAGGGCCGATAAAACTTTAATTGGATGCACTGCTGACAAAATGTAAAACAGAATATTTTACACAGATTTTTTATATATATATATACACTGCAATGGATGGCGACATCTGCAAATGTCATTTGTAAACAAACCCCATGTGATTGGCCGTCATGGAGGTCATAGGTGCACGCTCCTAGTTCTGAAATGGAATGTTCTGTCATCAGGAGCCCGCCGCGCCTGAAAAGCTCCAGGGTGCGATCATGAAGGCTAACCTCTATCAGGGGAGAAGTTGAGGCTCCAGGCCTAGGATCCAAGGGGGCCCCCCCCCCCCCCCAGGGGCG